CACCGTGTATGACTAACCACCTATGCACAACCACGTGAGAAATAAAAAATTCAACTATTTTCGCCACGCCATCGTGTTTGCAACTCGTTCTTCGGCATTTGAAATTTTCTTTTTGCCATAAAATCACATGCTTCGGACATGACGTCCCGAATGTGTGATATTTCGTGGGGTTTATTACAGCACATGCAAATTAAACAGTGCATTCACGTTGTCAGCAATACCTCAAACACTTCGGAATAGCCAGAAAGACTTTCCCTCTAAATTTATTTCAGCTTGGCTACCCACTGATCACAATAGCAGCGGCTACGTATGGAACAAGTCAAAAAAGTGTTGAAGGGAATGCAAACGGCAAAGCTGCTGGTGAGGGCCAGGTAACACCAGATCTGCTGAAAGACGGAGGACAGATTGTGCTACAAAAACTAGTCACCAAGTTTCCGAAGTGTCTCTTGACGAGAAGAGTACCATAATATAGGAACAATGACATCATCCTAATAGATAAAAAATGAGATGGAAGGACTTGACCAATTACAGGCCGATAAGCTTGCTCTCCGTCGTAGACAAGCTGTTTACTAAGGTCTCCATCGTACACAAGCTGTTTACACAAGCTGTTCGTCGCCACTTGGCAGTGGCGACGAACACGCTTCGATATCGCCTAATCCTTGCTGCCTTTTCGCTGCAGATCGCTGCTTCTGCACATCTGCACTTCGCACTGGAATCGGCGCAGATCATCGCACGTGCATACGTGATCAGCTGGCCCAAGCAAACTGCGACCAGGAGGTGCTACCGTCAGCTGTTTCCGGTGGCACTGCATCATCACGGGACAGCGGAGACATCCATAAAAGGCTACGTCGGCTGCGGACGGCTTTCACTTGCCGGTGGCGACGAACACGCTTCGATATCGCCTAATTCTTGCTGCCTTCTCGCTGCAGATCTCTGCTTCTGCACAGCTGCACTTCGCACTGGAATCGGCGCAGATCATCGCACGTGCATACGTGATCAGCTGGCCCAAGCAAACTGCGACCAGGCGGTGCTACCGTCCGCTGTTTCCGGCGGCACTGCAGCATCACGGGACAACGGAGACATCCATAAAAGGCTACGTCGGCTGCGGACGGCTTTCACTTGGCAGTGGCGACGAACACGCTTCGATATCGCCTAATCCTTGCTGCCTTTTCGCTGTAGGTTAGTGGTTGAACATTGTAGCTTTTTTTTCTCTTTTTTTTCGTCGTCGCTGCCAAGCTTGTGAAATTTGTGACTTTCTTTTTTTTGTAACGGACGCGTAAGCGCACACTGTTGTTGTTGAACTATGGCAAACAAACTGTTGAAGCTTAAGGAAGAACTACGGGCGGAATTCAAACAAAAGCTTGCAAAGTATAAAGACATGATAGAACGGGATCTTTGAACTGAAAGTCGAGAATTAAGAACTGAGCAGCGGAATATGACTAACAGCATTGAATTTGCTCAACAAACAATTGAGGAACTGAAGCAAAAGCTGAGCACTGCGGTCTCGGTAAATGTTGAACAAAAAAAAACAAAATGAGCTTCTTCGGGCTAAGTGCACAGCTTTGGAGTCTAGAGGTGCTGACATGAAAAGGCGACTTTTGCTTGCCGAGCAGTACTGTCGCAATGTCAATCTAGAAACTCAGGGCGTTGCTAGACAAGAAAATGAAAGCGTGCCGCATATCCTGTCAATGATCGGAAGTGCCAATAATGGGCCAATCAGAGAAGCCGACATAAAATCTTGTCACAGAGTGCCTACGCGAAACCCTGAGCGATCCAACATCGTTGTACAATTCAAATTAAGAGCGAAGCGTGATGCAACTCTGAGGAAAGCAAAGAAGGCTCGACTAAAAAACAAAGACGTGGGACTAGATATCTCGACACCGATCTACATCAATGAGCACCTTTGCCCGACATTCAAACGGCTACTTGGAATGGCAATAAGAAAAGAACATGAATGCAACTGGAAATCTGTGTGGACAGCGAATGGCAAGATTTTCCCGAGGCAGAGCGAGCTTTCAGCTGTAATTCAGATTCATGATGAAAGTTCTTTACCTTAGATAACTTCTAGTTCGTAAAGGCTCACTGTTTGGTCCAAGAAAGATTGGATACCACGAGTTCGTATTGCCTCATTTGCTTAGTGCTCAAAACAGATTCCATTCGACTGTTGCATTTCAATGCTCGATCTGCAGAGTTTAGGAGTGACGTCAAACACTACCTTCTCAATGATTTCCACTTCAAGTCATCATGATGACTGAAACATGGTATGACGGCGCAAGCTGCCGGCAGAAGTTTAATGGATATGAGGCATTTTTCCTTGACCTTCGTAACAGGCGTGGTGGAGGCGTTGCTATTCACGTAGACGGTCGCTGGAAGTATAATTTAGCATCGGATTTCTGTGTCACGTCTGAGGACTACGAAGTATTGGCACTCAGGCACAATTCAGACATGATAGCTGCTGTGTATCGTCTTCCAGGGGGCAATATTTTGAGCTTTCAAAGCTTTTTTGATAAATTTCTGCATTACGTATCGTCCAATAATTTTACACTGGTATGTGGTGGCGATTTCAATATCAATATCTTGAATGATAACCCTATTACCACAGTTTTTTTTAACATGCTTCAATGTGCCGGATTTAGGAATGTCATTTCCACAGCAACACGTGTTACACCGTTATCTGTCTCGTGCCTTGACTTATTAATAACAAATATCGAAGCCAGTGTGTTTCAGTGTGGAACAGTTTCATCAGATATAAGTGATTATTGCCCGGTATTTATGTGTTATTCCCACAAGCCGAATATTAACGAGATGTATCATGAACCGTACACAATGCAAACTGTAACAAACCACAGTTTGGAATCTTTTAAGAAGGATATTAGTGAACATGATTGGTCTTTTCTTTTCAACTCAACTTCTGCAGACGAAGCCTATCGAAAATTTCTTGCTGTCCTTGTACATTACGTAAAACACTTCCCATTCAAGCAAGTTGATTGATTGATTTGTGGGGTTTAACGTCCCAAAACCACCATTTGATTATGAGAGACGCCGTAGTGGAGGGCTCCGGAAATTTTGACCACCTGGGGTTCTTTAACGTGCACCCAAATCTGAGTACACGGGCCTACAACATTTCCGCCTCCATCGGAAATGCAGCCGCCGCAGCCGGGAATCGAACCTGCGACCTTCGGGTCAGCAGCCGAGTACCTTAGCCACTAGACCACCGCGGCGGGGCCCATTCAAGCAAGTTAAACTATCGAAAAAAATATGTAAACCATGGCTGACCCTCTCTCTTGCTAGTATACGACTTAAGAATGAACTTTACAACTTATTCTTGAAATCAAAAGTGCTGACAGATTTGGCAGAGTTTAAAAAACACGTAACAAGCTGAATCGGGAGCTTAAGCGAGCTAAGGTAACTTACTACGAGAAAATGTTTGCTGAAAGCGCCCAGCAATCACCTGACGTTGTTTGGCACTTAATTAATGATGTGCTTGGTCGCGGTAAGCGGGACGCCGCACCAGCTAAGATTACCGTTGACAATGTCGAGCTCGCTGGTAAAGAACTTGCGGATCACTTGAATACTCATTTTGTCAATGTGGGTGTATCAGCAAACGTGCCTTTGCAGGCAGACTCTTTCAGGGCTACACCAGGAAATAAACGCCCCGACAGTATTTTTCTAGCACCAACGGATGAACGAGAAATTTACACAACATAAATGAACCTAAAGAACAGTAAGACACTAGACATTGACAACATTCAAATAAAACCTATAAAATATGTCTTAGATTGCATTACTCCTGCGCTCAGCCACATTTTTAATTTGATACTTGAGTCGGGTGTTTTTCCAGATGATATGAAAAGAAGCAGAGTGACTGTTGTTCAAGGGTGGTGACAGTAACCTGGTGACTAATTATACATATATATCTATTATTCCTGTGTTTTCTAAGGGATTAGAAATGTTAATCGATACGCGTATATCTGCCTTCTTCTGCTCCAGAAATATAATCACTGACTTTCAGTTTGGTTTTAGGAAAAGAAGGTCAACGGAGACGGCCCTATTAGCACTTAAAGAAATGATACTGCAAAATTTTGAACGAAATCTTTTCACGTTAGCTGTTTTTCTTGATTTCAGCAAGGTTTTCGATTGCATTAATCATACCATTTTACTGCTTAAGCTAGAATCATACGGAAGCCGTGGCACGTCACTTCAGTTGATAAAGTCATACTTGCAAAATAGACAGCAATGCGTTCAGTTAAGCACTCATACGTCATCCTATTTACCTGTTCTAAATGATGTGCCCCAGGGAAGCGTGCTGAGGCCGCTATTTTTTAATGCTTACATAAATGACATCGTGGATATTGATCCCAGTGTGAGCTTTGTTATATATGCTGATGACACGAACTTACTTTTTCAGGCCCTGACGCAAATGAGCTAATTATCCGGTGTAATAAGCTATTGAACAAGCCTTTCTTGTGGTCTAGCAAAAATTTATTGAAAATTAATCCACTGAAAACAAAAGCCATCGTATTCCGAGCTAAAAACAAAATATTTTCATCAACACAAGCGTTAGCTTACACAGGTGAAGACATTTGTTTTGTGGATGAACATAAAATTCTTGGCGTCACGTTTTCATCAAACCTCAGCTGGAACCAACACGTCGTTGACATCTGCAAAAAAAGCCTCTAGTGTAGTTGGTGTCCTAGCTCGTTGTGGACATATCTTACCCGCAAAGGTGAAACTTCAAATATACCATGCTCTTTTTCTTTCGCACAAAAATTACTGCAGTTTGGTGTGGGCAACCATGACCAAAACTAACTGTAGTGTTGTGCGTTTACACCAGATGGCCTCTGAGTCATTGGACTCACAATAGATGGCGCCACTGCGCTCGTGTGTATATAAACGATACTCGCTGATTAAACTGGGTTATTGTTATGGATCGTACAGTGGTGTAGCGTGGTTACTTTCACGTGTCGCCGTGCCGGCAACATGACATTCTGGCGACGAGGATGGCTTCCACGGGCATTTTGCCACCTCCTCCTTTTCTGGCCACCCCCTGCACGCCCGATGTGCCATGGGCCCGATGGTTACGGCTGTTTGAAAGGTTTCTGCTGGCGTCCGGAGCGAACGAGCTACCCGCACCCCGTCGCCGAGCCCTCCTGCTGCACTGTCTTGGGACGGAAGGACAGCGCATTTTCGACGCGCTTCCACCTAGTACGACGCAAACCAAGGCAGAGACAACGAGTGCTGCACCCAGTGTCACGGCCACGCCAGATGCCGCCGCTGGAATCATCAGAACCACTGCACCTACTGGTACGCAAGACATGACCACGGAAGCCCTACGCCCACCTGACGAGTATGACGTAGCCGTTGAGATGCTTTCGAAGCATTTCGCCGCCCCTTGCAACGTCCGCCTTCAACGCCATCGATTCCGGGAGCGTCGTCAACTGCAGGGTGAGCCCATCACTGATTTCGCCGTAGCACTTCGGGAGTTAGCAGCTCTTTGCAATTTCGCCACTCAAGCGGACGAAAACCTGTGTGAACAGTTCGTAGCAGGCGTCACGAGCCCGCGGCTACAAGAGCGATTGCTGCTGGAGGGCGATAACCTTACGTTCGATCATGCTGTCGAGGTAGCACGGCTTCATGAGCAAACCCAGCGTGAATCCGAAGCCTTCGCCAATCCTGTGCAGCGCATTCAGCAGCAGTTGCGAGACAGCTCAGCCAGGCACGATCGACGAGATAACGGCCATAATGGCACACGCCTCCCGGGCCGTCGCCACTTCAGCTGCTCACGCGTGTACAGCGCACCTTCACCTGATATGAATGCCGCCGCCGCTGCTGTCCCCGGGCCTAGAAATGTAAATGCCTGCGGAAACTGCGGCGCAGCACGGTGTTCGCCTACGGAATGTCCCGCGCGCGGTCGCACATGTTTTGCCTGCGGACGCCGCGGCCATTTTAAGAGAGCATGTCACAGCTACCATCGCGGCCGAGAAGGGTATTCTGCAGAGGTCCAGGAAATCGTTCCGGAAGAGGATACTACCAGTGTCACTAGCATCTTGGCGGTCCGTACTCATAAGAACACAGGCGTCTACGTGGATGTCAATGTCGCGTCAGTTACCGCGACGACACGGGTGCATACCATGAACTTTTTGGTGGACACAGGCTCGGCCGTGTCTATTATGGGTGAGCACCAATTCCAAGGTTTGTTCGCAAAAGCAGCACAACTGACAAGTTCCCATCTTACATTGCTGGATTTTTCGCGCAGGAAGATTCCCGTTCTCGGGTCATTTCACGCCATAGTCACTTACAAGGGGAAACAACCCATTGTAACTTTTCATGTTACGCCATGTGGTACATCTCTCCTTGGCCTGGATGCTGTTCAAGCCCTTGGCCTTCGCATCATGGGAGAGGAATTGCACTGCCTGCAAATGTCCATGCAGGAATGCCGAAAGCTTCCAGCAATGAGTTCAGGCCTTCTCCAAAGCCCCAGGCATGAAAAACCCCTTGGCCTTCCCAAGTTTGGAATGCCGCCAACACTGTGGACCAAGTTTGGCCACTTGTTTTTGCCTGGCCTGGGACTTGTAAGAGGTGTGCAACACAAAGTTAAGATGATAACTTCCATCGCGCCAGTCGCACAGAAGCTGAGACCCTTACCATTTTCAGTCCGCCAGCCGGTCTTTGACGAGATTGAGAAGCTACCTGCTGCTGATGTCATTGAGAGAGTCAATGCTTCCGAGTGGGTATCTCCAATTGTAGCAGCCCGCAAAGCAGATGGTAGCATTCGACTGTGTGTCGATATCCGGGAACCCAACAAAGCTATAGTAGCAGACAACTTCCCTTTGCCTCATATGGAGGAGCTGCTTCATGCCCTCAATGGAGCCCGCTGCTTTTCCAAGGTGGACCTGGCATCAGCCTACTACCAGGTTGTGCTGCACCCAGACAGCAGGGACCTAACTTCATTTATAACTCATGATGGCCTCTTTAGATTCAAGAGGGTCTGCTTCGGGTTGGCATTGGCACCAGCTGCGTTTCAGCAGATCATGACGAAAATTCTTGGAGGTTGCAAAGGGGTCTTATGCTACTTGGATGACATAATCATTTTTGGCAAGACGGAGAGTGAACACAGGCAAAACCTGGAGCAAGTGCTGGAACGAATAGCAGAAGTTGGGCTCAAGCTCAACGAAAAATGCGTCTTCAACACGTCGGAGCTGTCGTTCTTAGGACATCGCGTCAGCGCAGAGGGTATAGCATCGCTCCAGACCAAGATTGATGCAATCATCAATGCTCCTGCGCCTAGAGATGCAGCCACGCTACGCTCCTTTTTGGGGCTAGTTGAATACTATTCCAAATTCGTGCCGCGACTGGCAGAGCAAGTAGAGCCAATGCGTCGTCTACTTGGCAAAGACGTGCACTTTTACTGGGATTACGCTGCGAAAGAGAGCTTCGCGGGAGTAAAAAGACTTCTAGCATCCCAAAAGGTCCTCCGAATGTTTGACCCGACGCTACCTGTCATTGTCGCAACAGATGCCTCTGCGTACGGTCTCGGTGCCGTACTGCAGCAAGTGGAGGGGTCCCATGTGCGTACTGTGGCATTTGTATCGCGGACATTTACAGAGACAGAACGAAAATACTCGGCCGGAGAACGCGAGACCCTTGCCTGTCTGTGGGCCTGCGAGAAGTGGCACGTTTACCTCTGGGGCAGATCATTTACTCTACTGACGGATCACCAGGCTTTGGTGGCACTGCTCTCATCCCGTAGCACAGGACAGCGGCCACTTCGTATTGCAAGGTGGACCGCACGACTGCTGCGCTACAACTTCAAAATACAGTACCGCAGCGGAGCCCACAACCAGGTAGCAGATGCCTTGTCCAGACTGCCCGTGCCAGACACAGAAGGGGGCTTCCATGTTGATGAAGAGGTTGTGTCCTTGGTTACATCATCGTCTGTACATTGGGAGAATCTTCAGGTTGCTACCGCGGAGGATGACATACTACGGCAGGTAATGCAATTTATCCAGTCATCATGGCCAACAAGGAAAACACTTGCCGCAGAACTGACTCCGTACTACGAAATACGAGACGAGCTCTCGGTAGTAGATGGGTTGCTTCTGCGCACAGAATGCGTTGTACTACCTGCCAAGCTAAGGGATACATTCATCCAGTTAGCTCATGAGTCACACCCGGGAATCGTGAAGACTAAGTAGCGCATCAGGGAGAAGTACTGGTGGCCTTGCCTTGACAAGCATGTGGAGGCCGCCGTCCGGAGTTGCAGCACCTTTCAAGCCTCGGACAAGAGTGTCAAGAACTGGCAAGCCCCACTACAGCCTGTTCCGCTTCCTGACAGGCCTTGGGACAAAATATCAATAGACATCATGGGCCCCTTTGAACGTGCACCGGCCGACTGTCGATTTGTCATCGTTGTAGTGGACTACTTCTCCAGATGGCCAGAGATTGCGTTCTGCAGTGACATCACTTCTCTCACGGTTATCAACTTTATGCTTGCTGTCTTTGCGCGAGAGGGTTACCCGACTGAACTAGTCTCAGATCACGGCCGACAGTTTACGTCGAGTGAATTCGAGTGCTTCCTTGCAGACAGGGGCATCAAGCATTTCTTCTCGGCAGTTTACCACCCTCAAGCCAATGTCTTAGTGGAAAGATTCAACAGGGTCTTGAAATCGTATATACAACTAGCTCTCCTACAGCAGCGACCAATCAAGACCACAGTTATAGAGTACCTGGGTATCTACCGAGCCACACCCCACAGCGCCACTGGCATCTCTCCAGTAGTGTTGCTTCATGGCCGCCACATGAGGACATCATTAGATGTTGTTGGCCAGCCATCAGCGGATTTCGGCACCCATCCCGCCCGTGAACTGCGTAGACTTCGGCGTCGTGTCTGCGAATACCAACAAAGAAATAAGGTGTATGCAGACAAGCGAAGAGCAGCCCGGGAGCCCAAATTTAAAGTGGGGCCCTACGTGCGGGTGAAACGCCCGGTACCTGGAATAAAAGGCACCCCTAGTTTTGGGGCTCCGCTCAAAATACTGAGGCGGGTAGGACGATGGTCATTCCACTTGGAGGACGACCGTACCTGAAATGCCTCCCAACTGTCGGCTGTACCCCATGAAGCTGTTCTCGAAGAAACAGGGGCAAGACAAGAACCGCTGTGGGCGGACATTGAGACAGACGGGTCGGCAGGAAACGCCACAGCACGAAAACCGTCCTCGAAGGCAAAGAGCCACACGACCCAAAATATCCCAATACAGGAAGCTGCACAGTCTCCGGGGGGGTCAGCACTGCCTCCTCATACGCCAAGCCCACCACGGCCTCCACCAACGGGGAACACGACCGCAGGACTGGGTGCTGATCGTGCCGACGAACCAGAGGTCGTTCATCAGCCAGAAGAGCAGCCGGTGCCCCTCCGTCGCTCTACACGGGAGCGAAGACCACCAGAGAGACTCAGGGACTATGTGCAGTGACTTGTTTACAGGGGAGACTTACTATAGTTTTCTGTCACGGGTAGTGACTCTTTCTTTCCTATGCACATAATCTATGTTCTATTATCAAGGGAGGGGGTAGATGTAGTGTTGTGCGTTTACACCAGATGGCCTTCTGAGTCATTGGACTCACAATAGATGGCGCCACTGCGCTCGTGTGTATATAAACGATACTCGCTGATTAAACCGGGTTATTGTTATGGATCGTACAGTGGTGTAGCGTGGTTACTTTCACGTGTCGCCGTGCCGGCTACACGACACTAACATAATGAAACTTCAGACCATGCAGAAAAAAATTATTAGACATCTCGCTAATTTAGATTATTTGTCATCAACACAACTTGTGTGTCGGGACTACGGTATTATTAAAGTGGAATATATCTTTCGCATTCTGCGATCCTGCTTTTTCTGTTCCATTTCGTTTAAACAATTCATTAAAAATACCGCATGTCTAACTGCAAAAAATGTTTTGTTAGGAACAAGAAGCAGTGATGTTTGGATTGTTCCGAGGTTTCGCAATAATTACAAATCTCGAACATTGCAATACAATTTACCAATGATTCTGAATAAGTACAGTCACGTAAACAGTTTCTAATTAAAAGAGCTACGATCCTTTTTTGTAAATATAGGCTAACATTTTCACGTTGTAAAATGTGCAGTCTGTACGATAGTACAATTTCAATTTTCTTTCAGTGTCTGCTCCATGATGTACCGAATAGGTTATATTATATAATTCTGTCTGTATAATTTTGTTTGTCTGACATGTGATGCACATTGTATGATGCAGCACATACACAAGGAGCAAATTTGTATATATCTTCTCTGATAATTTAATCATTTATTTATTTTAATTATTTTATTTGTTGGCAATAATGGTGTTATGGTTGCTGGATTTTTCTTTTGTTTTTGTTTTTTTTGCTCGCGTCCATGTAATCTTCTGTGCTATGCTGGTATCAGGATGTTTCGTAGGAATGTATATATATGTTTTTATTACACCGTATTTGGTATTGTAATGTTATCTTATGGTCTTTACTGTTATACACATCTTTGTCATTGTCCCACCTGCCTTGTATAGGGTTCACTGGCTTCGTCAAGCTGTCCATAAACAGCTTTTAGCCAGTGAACCTCTCCAGAACCTGTTTCTTTCTGGGAAAATAAAATGATTTGATTGGATTTGATTAATCACCAACAGAATTGAGACATTAAAATTCAATCAACCAAAGGCACAAGCAGGCTTTCAAATAGGCTACTCAACAATCGACCACATTCGCGCTATCAATCAGGTAACAGAAAAGTGCTCAGAATACAACCAACCACTATACATAGCCTTCATAGATTACGAGGAGGCATTTGGTTCAGTAAATATATCAGCAACCATGCAGACACTGCGGAATCAGGGCGTCGACGAAACATATATAAACATCCTGGAAGAAATCAACAGGGGATCAACTGCCATCATAGTGAATCAACTCCCACCATAGGAAAGCAACAAAATACATATCAAAGAGGGTGTAAGGCAGGGAAATACAATCTCGCCAATGCTATCTACCCCGGTCTTACTTGAGGTTTTCAGGGGCCTATAATGGCAAGAGTTAGGGATAAGAGTTAATGAAGAGTACCTTCACCATCTACGCTTCGCCAATGGCATTTATTGCTCAGCAACTCGGGGGACTAAATGCAACTCATGATTACGGAGTTAGAAAAGGAGAGAAGAAATGCATAGAGTTTCCCAAAATTAACTAGAGGGTACACTGACGCTGCGATCGTTCAGCGACCATAGGAATGATGGAGTAAAACTCAACCTTCTACCTACTCCCTCTGTTCCCTTGAGCAGAGCTCTCTCAGCTGCGTAGCGGTTGTTGCTACAGAAGGAAGTGGAAGGTTGATTGCTTGGTGTCCGTCTTGTCCCATCGTGGCTGCTGCTGCTGCTTGTCAAGGATGGGGACCACAGCCTTTAGATGAACTCGACTTTATGTACAGGAACTTATGTACCTATTTACAAGACACTTTCACCGCTGGAACCGTCGCATGTTGCCTCGGCAGAGCCGATAGTGCAGAGCACTCTTTGCTGCGACCAGAACGACCATGAGGACTCGGGAGCCCGGTTTTAACCCCTCGATTGCCCCTCCTGGCTCTCCTCACGGCCAACCAAAGCAATTCAGTCCGTTTATTGGACAGACTAAACACTTGTTGCCGTCCTCTCCTCTAGCTCTCTTCTTCCAGCACTCGACCGTTTGGCCGGAGAGAGAGAGAGCCGGAAGGATCGGCCTGCACACTACGTTCCATGAACTTGGCGAACGCACACAATGGTGGCACTGTTCGGCTGCGGGCCTCCTGCCATTACCGTGAGATGACTGCGCTGTCCAGCATGACAGCCGTTCCGCGGACTCTAATCCTGATGGATGGGTGTATATACACTGTCGCCACGTCGCCTGCCAGCAATCCGCTGGCCGGGGACCCCTTAGCTGGTTGTTAAAAGTGGCAACTAACCGCGGCCCTCTTGCCAGAACGGAGGCGCTTACGCCGAGATTATCGTCTCCCGAGAATCGGCTCTTTGAGAAGCGCGCCCTTCTGTGACCAAGAAGACTCGCTCCCCTGGCCGGCGACGCCAGACCTTACACGCCCTTCCCAAGATTCGCGCAAGCGCTCAAATGCAGCTACGCGAATAACAGCAACATAAAAGAATGGCGCCGAGCGTCCGCAACTTTGCGGCCGCACTTCGCAGTTCCTTGAACGCCAGAGACGTTTCTGCAACGCGTGTGATATTCCCTCTGCTGAAACCTTGGGGCCCCACCAAACGGACGCCACCACAAATAAAAAAAACGACACAAGGTCACTGTATACACAAGTACAATCTATAAAGCAGGCATATCAAACAACAAGAAAACTCCTGCATGCCTACAGTCGTACATATACACACAAAAAAGGGATTCACTGAAACACACCCACCCTTTCGCACATAGTGCGGTTCAAATCAAACAAAAAACCATCACTCTTTCGTGCTTACACACAAGAAAAAAAACACACTTCACTGAGACACACACACATTTCAACGCATGGCGCTGTTCAAGTGTGTCCAGGTTCGCGCACGTCACTCTTAAATAAAGGAGTGTCCACCACGTGCCTAGTCCTCCAGTGTCTCAACGGCCCCTGAGGCACCGCTGCCATTCCCCGAGCGACCATTAGGTGTCTTCGACAGCGCGCATGCGTTGGCAACAACAGTGGGTGGCGGCCCCAGTCCATGGTCATAAGTGCGCTGAAGGGCCAGAAATCGAACGCTCCCGAACTGCAGCTGACTGACAAGGAACCGCGGCATTGAGTTGGAGAAAACCCGTGCCGTGCAAACGCAATGGACGCTTTAGCATCGCTCTTCGCCCGCCGCGATCGGTAGACCTTAGAGGTTGCCATGGACAAGTTCACTACGAACCAATACGGCTTTTCGCGATCTTCTCTCATCAATGGCGCTGCCTCACACAGTGTGGTTTGTGCCGCCGAGACGCCCTATCCACCCACGCCATTTTGTCCGCAACCCGCTTTCCCAACAGCTCAGAAAACGGCCGAGCTACCTCCACGTAATTTAGCCCGTAGCTTAGGTGGTGTCCACACGATGCCTGAAATTCTATCAGCTTCTTCTTTACGGTTGGCACACCCAAGCCCCTGACTACCGCGAGGACCTCACCGTCAGGTGCCCGACAAGGGGAACCCGCCACACGCCCTAAGCAGTTCTTCAAATGAAAATCCAGGCAACGCTGTTTCCCCTCGAGAAGTTTTTCCACTTTCCTTTTTACGCATCTATGTGGATGTGAGTTCTTTCGAATTAACTTCTCTTGTTGAAGAAGTTTTATTTGCCGCACCGAAGTCGCATTAGGTTGTCCGCCGAACGGCCCCCTGTGCTCACCGAAATTCCCGCGGACTCGGTACTGTCTTGTTTTTCGGCATCGGCCGAACGATCGGAATCCGGGCAAGTACCTGCAGCACACGCCGTTGCCGGCCGCGGTTCATACTCAGGATCACTAAATTCCACGCTTGCTCGAATGATACGTCAACTGACGCAACTTTTGGGCAAAAAAGGCGCAATTCTTTCGCGTCCACCAGCTCTCGAGGCTCCGCCGGCCTGTGTGCCACGCACAAACGCTCGCGTTGTCGCTCAACAATGCCTTCCGCTTTCGCGCCCTCCTCGGCTATCTGCGGTTTTACCTCGGCATGTTCCTTTTTGCGGAACTCCTCGGGTTCGCCTGTACCTTTCCTGCCCACCGCTTGTGTTCCATCGGGCTACGCGCGGCTTCCCCGAAGGCTGTCGTCCTCACCACTCCTCACGACAAAATTGGTGATAATACCCTCTATAGACGCGGCTTCGCGCTGGCTTTTAGGGCTCTCGGCTTCTGTCTGCCATTTTTTCGCGTGTTCACTAGGCCACTTTTCGGTGTCATCTGTGTGGCACCTGTCTCCTCCGCGCCTTTCGACATGCTCTCGGAAGCGCATTCATATTTAAGCGATTTGCACGCTTTTTCTGACAGCAGGCAATCCGCCCGTGCCGTCATTCGGTCAGTTAACGCGCACAGCACGGGAACCATCCCCTTTAGGTCAGTGCTAACGCT